AAACAATTAAAAGTTCTTTTCAAAGTGGAAATGCAAAATAGAACGAATATCTATTTTCCATAAACGAATCTAGCCATCTGCCTCACGAAAGCGGCAGCAGGAGGGCCCATAACAGCAGAAACAGCAGCCTCTGGTGTTAACAATCTATTCTCAAATCTCATGCTCCAAATTTCCCCGGCAAACAGGGCTAAAAATACAAGACATGCAACAAATACTCTCTCGGGATCTGCCATTCCATGGATGGCGTATTCAATCACAGTAATATTTTCTGTTGAAATTCAAAACTGAAAGAAAAAGAAAGCAAGCGATCATATTAGAAACTGGCATCAGCATTGCAAGTGTGAATTTACTCGCAGGCTGAATGGGGAGAGAGCAGTGGTTTTCACACAGCATGACTCTTTCAGATTTATCTGACTATATGTACTGACACACATAGCCTACTCTAAATTCCTCTACAGTTGGTGATAGTTATAAGCATGACATTTCAGTACTTTTCTCACCAAAATACCAGGGTCCACTTATTTCCATAACAGTTCAGAAGGCTATCTGAATAGTACAGAAGGGACTCTGAAGTCAGACTGATCAGATTCAAATCCAGCTCTACGGCACACTAACTCTGGAACGCTGAGCAAGTTATTAACCCCTCTATTTCCCTCTTTTCCTGTTTTACAAATGAAGAAAATAATAGTCCTTACCTCACTGAGTTATTTTAAGGATGAAATGCGTAAAGCATTCAGCATAATGAATGGCACACACTAAATACAATGATGATTTTGTAGTCATAAAGCTCCAAAAATGGGGTCAGGGATAACAAAGACTGCTAACAACACAACAGCAGTCCTCAGGCAACAAGAGAAAATGAATGTGGCAGCAAAGCTTGTAATCCCGGCACTCCAGGAGGGTGAGGCAGGAAGCTGGTGAGTTTGAGTCCAGCCTGTTAGTGAGCCCCTGTCACAGAAGCAGCTTAGTGGAAAGGCCTCCACTTCAATGCCCAGTACCAAAAAAGGGAGAAGAGGAAGAACGAAGAAGAGAAGGGGCAGGAAGAAGGAAATGAAAGGTGTATTTACATATGTATATGGCTTAGCATAAAAAATAAAAACATGCTTCTGTTGATTACTCTGTTGTGCTGTTTATGAAGCATCGGAATGAGGATGGACAAGGGAAGGTCAAGCAGCAGTGCTGGAGTTGAGGACAGCAGTCCTGAAGGCAAAGGCATGACTGAGAGGGGCACCCAGGCTGCAGGTGAGTGGGTGTGCACCCCAGGATGCGGGTGAACGGATATGCCAGTCCATCAAGAGAGGACTGTCTGCACCGCCTATCCCTCAAAGTACGCCATGAACTCATTCTTTGGGTATCTTTCTCCAGACTGGATTTTAATGCATGAGGTATGGGTCTCCAGCTTAAGTACTTTTTTTTGAAGTACAAAGGCAAGGTTACCTGATGTCACTATTTCCTAAAACAATGATTTTTGTAAACCTCTTAATGTTGGTAATGTCTTAAATTGGGTACACTACTTGGAGGAAGAAAGTCAAAGACAAGTTTACAAACCACTGTGGCAATGAAACAACAGTGCTTCCCTAATCAATCAAACAGCCTGGTCCAGAGCCACCTGGAAAGTCAGCCACAGGATCCATCGGAGGGTCTCAGGGCTCCACTGGTGTCTCAGTCCTATGGTTTACTGATTAAGGACCGCAGAACCACAGACGGGCCATTCAAGCAATGAGAAAGTATGTCAAGGGTGACATGTGTTGTCCTTACAAGGTCTCATCAAAACAATTAATATCCTCTTAAAAATGAACACACTGCAGAGAACTCTCCAGCAAAGCACTTTAGTAAGAAAAGAGGGTACCACAGGGCTGCTTAAGCTAAGCCCACATTCTAAACACGAGTTCAGCAGGAAATCAAGTAAAAAGAGTCTTTTCTTATACTTCTACGAATGGATACATTTTTTGAAAAAAACGAATAAAACGAGGAGAGAGAGGAAAGGGTATTCCCTAGTAACATTCATTAAGGAGAAAATGACTGTAGTTTTAAAAACTGGATAAATTGCAAAGATGAGTGGATTTAAGTATCTGTAAGTCAAATGACTGTCATCCCTCTAAAATAACATGTACTTCTCTTGCCATTAATGTGCTGCTGTACTTATCATGAGAAAGAGCTGATCGTCTAGGACATTTTTAAAACATGGAGTATTGGGAGTTGTGTGAAATCCCAACACATCGAAGGACATCCTCCAGCATCTTCCTATGGAACTTTAATGAGAAGGTTCTCTTATGTACAGTAGCTAAAGCAGGATTCACAACCAGACCAACAGAAGCATTCTTTCTTTTCCAAGAACAAAAAACAAATCAGTATGACAACATGATATAAATTCAATTAGCACTTGGCAGGTCACAAGTAACTTTTAAACAACCCTCTTTTAAGTTAGATAGTGTTAAAACATACAGTAATCATAGCACTCACGTGCCTTCCTTACAATATGCCTACGGCAGGAAGAAGCCTGAAAAGGCAAGCACTGTTTACAAAGACAAAACCAGAGCACAGCACTACACTGTGGAGTAGTATTACTTTTTATATACAGTCCCTTTTCTCAACTCTTCCTCTTTGAGTAGAATCAAAGACAATCAGGTGAAAATTCTAATTTCCAGAAGCTTTTACATGAAGCATGGAAGGGAAGAAAAAACAACTTAGTGCATCCTCTTGGAAACTGATAAATACTACAAATAAATACTACTGATCTATGAAATAGTCTCATACTATTAAATCCAACAGAATAAGTCTGCATATCCCATTGGTTAGGAGAAGTAGTAGAGTATCTTGGGTCAAATCAACAAGAAAAGTTAGAGGGTGGGGCATTGTAGCTCAAGGGTAAAGGGCTTGACTAGCATGTGTAAGGCTTGGCTTTGATCCCAGCACTTAAAGAAAAAAAGAGAAGACAGGAGAGAAGAAAAAAAAATCTCAGAAAACAAAAACTACTCCTTTGGATAAGCAAAGTATAGCTGGGACTCACCCTCCACATAAGCTCGGACTACTGACCAAGGACGCGCTCAAGCTGCATCTCCCCTTGGCTTTAGCGCCCACCTGGGATGGAAGAACTTGAGTAACAGTGAAACACGTCCTTTGTTCTGAGAACTTCAATCCTGCCCACCTGTCCAAAGCCAGGTGTGCGTGGCTCATAGGTTTTGCTGCTTGCTTCAATGCTCATTTCTTGAGGAATTTGACAGCTGCTAAAGCTAACGAGCTTCATGCCCCAGAAACTAATATGACAAGGGAAATATTAGTCAGATTTACTGCTCCACTCCAAGTGTCTTGAATATCACTATGATCTGTGCAAGATATTTGATGTAAATAAGCCTGTGGAGTGTACAGTATGTTTTGCAGGAGACCTTTAAAGAACAGCTTGCAGACAAGAGGTGCTAGCCTTAGTTTCACAGCCAGCAAAACTCCCTGCAAGAGGCTTTGGCATGTCCCCACCTCTTGTTTGGAGCTGGCTTTGAGACATCTCCACCGAGCCAAATTCCCAGGGTCAGTACCTAGAGTCAGTCACCCTTCGGCATTCAGGACCCAACAGTGAGAGGAAACTGGGCCATTTAGGTCCGCATTTGGCAGGGGGAAAAGCTCACTTTCCCACACAACGGTGTATGAAAAACAACTCCGAGCTGGATTTGCAGCGAGGCAAATTTACTCCTCCTCAAGAGTAAATTAAATGGCTGAAGCTTGTGCTTCTTGCAGCAAGAAAAAGAAGTATGTTTCACCATAATTCAGTGTGGGGAATCGCTGAGGCTCACGTTTAAACCTTTCTTGTTTTTTTAAAGCCTGCTCCTTTGAACACACACACAACTTTTCAGGAAATGAAAACCAAATACGCACCGCCCAGGATCGTGAAATATTCTACCCATTAAAATTTTTTTTCTAGGCAATGGGTCTGCATCGAACAGTTAGTGTTCACAAAATGAAATTATACTGGCTCTTTTGTGATCGTCCTCAGCCCCTCCTCAGTCCTCCCCCAGAATCTGTTCTCAGGCAAAGGGAAGGCAAAGCGGCCAGCTCGGTCCCACCTCCTGACAGACAAGCACTCGGTAAATCATTCCAATGAGATCGCATATTACAAGCCTACAAGGTGGTAGAAGAAAGGTAAAAAAAAAAAAGGGCAGGAAAGGGAAGCTTCCGGATCATTCCAGAGGTAATGCCACGGTGCTGGACATAGATCCAACACCGAGATCCTCTTCAAAACAAGTCCGTGGGAATCGTCTCTAAGTTGATGCTTCCCGTCCTCGCTCAAGGTGGAGCTGTAGCCAGTTGGGAAACTGCGCTCTGATGGAGCGCAGAGGTGCCGAGGAAATGGGGTTCAGGCGTCAGGGGAAAAATAGCAGAGGTTTTCCTGCGCTCTGCGGGTCCGTGTCCCAGCTTGGGAAACCTCGGCAGAGAGAGTCGGCGGTGGCCATGGGTTGCGGCCCCGGGCCAGCGGCTCATCCGGCGGGTTCAGGGTCAGCGGGGCAGGCACAGCTCGCCCGGCTCCCGCACCGCGGCCTCCGCTAGGGCGAGCCCTGGGCTGGGACTCCAGGGGGCACCGCGAGTGGCGCAGGGCTCGGTGATTTCGTCTGGAAGGTCGCCTCGCGAACGGAAAGGGCGGCGCAGTGGAGCCGAGCTCACCCGCCCGGACCCTCGCCCGGAGCTCTCGGACCTCGCCAGGGGCGCCAGCCCATAGCGCCCTCGCCGCGGGGGAAGGGAAAGGAGCGCCGGGGCGCAGACGGGCTGCTCCTCCAGCCCGCAGCTCTGGCGCGGGGAAGCAAGGCAAGGGGTAGGGGCCCGGGTCACAGCAACCTGTAGGATCGCGGCGGAGGCAAACTTGGGAGGCAGGTGCGCGGTCCCCTCGGAGGTCTGCGGTGACTCCTGCCCGTCGGCGCGGCGGGCGAGGTCAGAGCGCACCTCGGACAGCCGCCGCCGCCGTGCGGTGCCGCTGCGGACCCGCCAAGTCCCGCCCCCCGGCCGGCACTCACCTCGGGCCGCCGCAGCTCCCGCCGCCCAGAAGCAGAGCCCCAGCCAGCGCAGCCAGCGCCGCGCGCTCCCCGCGGGCCCCATGCCCAGCGCCGTCCGCTCTTCGCGCCGGAGTCAGGGAGGCGCCGCCGGGCCGGGCGGACAGGGTCCCGGGTCTCCGCGAGTGACCGTCCACGGCCGGACTACAGCAGCACGGCAGAGCGCCCAGAGCTGCCACCGTACGCGCGCCCGGAGAAAGGAGAGCAAGTCCCCATCGCACCCACAGAGCGGCCGCCGCGCCCGCCGCGCACAGCCCGCCCGACTGCCGCGCTGAGCCGCCAGGGCGCCCCGCCCCGAGCCGCCCCGCCCCCCCGAGCCGCAGCCAATCAGCGCGCGGGGGCGGACCGAAGGGCGCGCGCGGGCGGGCGGGGCGGTGCAGGTGGGCCCGCGGCAAGGCACGTGCACCCTGGACGCTGCGGCCCGCCCCGCCCGCCCCGCCCGCCCGGACTCGGGCGGGAGCAACACGCCGGCACCCCGCGGCGGGCGGAGGCGATCGGGAGTCCGCTGCTTCCATGAAGCTCGTGTGGACCGGCTTCGAACCATTTGAACGTCCTGCCTTTGCCATCAACACTGCTTTACTGTCAGGTTTTCACACCTGAAAATTTAAAACAAGATGTAGTAAGTGCCAAGCGACGAGAAAGAACAATAAAGATAACTCTGTTACTGCAGCTATGCTAATTAATTCCTGCCTGCCAATAAAGAGCTGCGGAGTTCAGTCCAGAGTGTATTAAGGGTTATAGGATTTTATTTTCTTTTTTCTTTCTTTCTTTTTTTTTTTTTTTAATTCCTTTTTCAGGTCTTGCAGTCACTTCAGAACCGCTGGACTTCTGAGCAGCTCCCTGGTCCTAAATTTGTTCTAATCTAGATCCTAAGAACTGCCTTTCTAGTACTTATCGAGAAAGGAGAAGTGGGCCTCTTTAAGAGAGGGGAAAAAAACATGTGGCTCATGCCTGTAATCCCAGCACTTGGGAGGATCATTGGGAGTTCAAGACCAGCCTGGGCTACAAAGTGAGCTCAAGACAAGCCTGAACTGCATAGCGAGACCCTGTCTCAAAAAAGACAAAAAAAAAAAAAAAAAAAAAAAAAAAAAAAAAATATCATGGCTTGAGTGGAACAGATTTTGGGATCTTAACTCTGCCGGCCAGTAGAACAAAGCACCTCCCAGAGGGAGCCTTCCTATAGTCCACCAGGGGCCTTTCCTTTAAGGTCACAATACAGGATATATTCACTGTCCTTACTCTCCGGTATTGGGTTACGAAAGGTTATTTCTTCCTAGCAGAAGTGTGCTTTTTAATCTCTTCTTTATTAGTATATAACTGTATTACATTAAAAACATGGTGACAGATAAGGCAGTGCAACCCCATCATCCCAGTAATCTGGAAGGCTTAGGTAAAGGAATCGCTGTTTCAAGATCAGCGTGGGGCTGTTAGCAAGGTCATGTGTCCCTAAAATACATAAAAAATATACACCCGCACACACATAAATACATACGTATATACATACACACGTACATACAAAATGGGCTTGGGGTGTAACTCAGAGGGAAAGTCCTGGGTTCAATGCCAAGTATCTCTAATCAGCCAATCAGTTAATCACTAACTGGCAGAACTCAGGTAGTCCAAATCAGCATCCCCCTTTACCTGGATAGCGCCACAGACAAGGCTGGAAAGACAACTTCGTCAAGCTTAACCTTGGTACAGGTACTTAAAAAAAAAAAAAATCTCTCTTGCCAAAGTGCTACCTGCTTCCAAACACCTTTCTCCGGAGAACAAAGTTCTCGATAATTGCACTAACATGGTTTCTTCTGAAGAAAAAAAGGATGATAGGCAGGAAGATTGATTCTCCGATAAGCCCGTGGGCCATCCTCTCCTGAGAGCCACAGGTGACTATCAGGGGAAGGACAAGATTGTTTCCCCCAGTCTTCTTTGCAGCTCAACAAAAGCTTTTGGACCTGGTCAAGAAAACCAGGCTCTGGGGAACGGATGCTTCAAGGAAGACTGATGTGGGGCTGTCGAGGGACGCTTCTGGAAATCTCTTTAGAATCTTAGTAAATGAGGGTTTTGTCCTTTTCCTCTGAGAAGGTGAATCGAGAATTAATCTCCCAAATATGCTTCAGCTGAAAAACAGTCATTCAGGGTCTGACTTTCCTTATTCTTCAAGACTATATGGCAGTTCTGTTTCAAATGAATATTTGTTGTTTTTTTTTTTTTTTTTTTTTTTTTTTTAATTACCATGTTTCCTAGAGCGTTTCTAAGTCTTGCTGCAGTCCTCAGGGGAAGCCACACATGAAACCAGTTTTATTGTGAAAGGGGAGTTAAGGAACAGGTGAGCTAATTTTAGGTTAATAATTCAAGTAAAATTACAACGACAAAAGAAAGGAGAGGAAAGCTAATGACCTGTTAGTGAATCCTATGCTCAAGAAATGGATTTTTATAACTTTTGTTTAAACAAGAACCAAACCTTGAATGGCAGGTATGGGTGACCTGTTTAGCGGGTGAGAAAAGTCATGTAGAGTTTAGAAGTGAATCTGAATGCACACTCAGAATGATCCCTCGGCCCGAGCAATTCTAGGACTGCAATGAAGGCTTTTCCAAGTCGTTCTTTATCATTTAACTTTGGGGTTGTGGGAAATTGAATCGTTGGTGTTGACAGACATATGATGCACCCTATATTAATTATATATCACACAGAATACATTCAGCAATTGACCTACCTTGCATTAATCTAACTATTTTACAGCATGTACAAGTTGAACATTTTTGCCACTTGAAGAAACATCTATTTTCTTGGGGAAATGAATTGAGTAGCTGGAGCTCTGGAGCAGTAACATGCTAGCAGGGTCAGGGACTGGCCAGGTGACCTATGGAGAGTCAGTGTTTCTCATCCCTTCACTTGTAAAAGTGAGGGGATTGGACAGTGTGATTTTAAGACTGATCCCATTAGAGAGTCATCATTTTTAACTTTAGCATGTTATGGTTTTTGATACTCAAATTACTGAACAATTTTAGAAATCAAAGGACCTGTTCTATGGAAAATTTTGTAATATATTGTGTTCTAGAAAGATTACTTTTGGATTTTAACCAGGTTTAAAATATTAAGTATAACAAACATCATAGTCTAATCAGGCCACTGCAACATAATTAGCATAAACCGGGTAGTTTGTAAACAATAGAAAATTATTTATCACAGTTCTGAAAGCTGGCAAGTCTAAGATCAAGGCACCAATGGACTCAGAATCTACCGAGAACCCATTTCCTGATTCCAAGATGGTGCATTGTACTGAAAAGGAGAGAGGGCTTGGGTGCCTCTTAATCTCATCCATGGGGACTGAGACCTCATCCGTCTCGTACCATCACCTTAATTAGATTTCAGCTTGTGACTAGTGGAGGACATAGAGATGCGGACCACAGCATCAGGTAATGTTACTGCAATGAACAGACATGATTAGATTTTTTTCTCAAAATTTTCTTATTTGAATTGACTGTGCCCATTGTATAAATACTCTATCTCCAAAGGTCTGAGGGAGAATGTTTCTCATTCCATTGTCTTTCAATCACTTCTAGCCCAGCTAGATCAAAATGTAGAAAATGTTTGAGCTGGGTTAAATTAGGATTGCAGAGAAAATAAACTGAGTCTGGAGAGACTTGCCCTTCCAAATAGGATTTTTTTTTTATTTTAAAGATAACAATATCCAACAAAAACTAGACAGAACAAAGCCAATCAAGACAATGCAGTGAAATTGGTACAGAACTTCAGAGCAGGATACTGGGATACTGGGATAGGTACTGGGTAATAGGTACCATAGGATATCTTGTTATCTTCACAGTAGTTGTCCATTCAATTAGGTATAACAAAATCAAACCAAAACCAAAACACTATAAAATCAATCAAAACAGAATACTGAATAGAGCAAAACAATTAATCAGAATAAAGTAAAACAGTGAAAACAATATTGGCCTTCAAAGACAAGATAGAAGGAAATCCTCCATATTTGCTGTATTATATGCTGTCATCCTCCCAAGAGATGCTCAGGCCTCTGGCCCCAAGTCAGCATAATCAACGCCAAAATACGAGCATTTAGTTGCTTTATGTGCCTTAGTTGCTATCAACTCTGACTGAGCTTAAAACTATCCAGTTGCTAACTGTAGGGGGATGGAGGTTTGGTTCTCAACCCCCTCGCCAATAGGCTCAAGGGAGACACTAACTTATTCCCTCCCTGGCTGCCTGTGGCTTACACTACTTATCAGGAAGGCTGGCTTGTGGCTTTCTTGGTTGGTCCCCAAGCTTCAGGAGGCTAATTCTGAGGAGACATTGACTTGTTCTATCCTTGGTGCACCCTCAGCTCGTTCACCCCAAATAAGAATGTTTTTGAGAGATATTTGAGATATTTTACTTTTAATTTCCTTAGGAAAATTTCTGCGTATGTCTGGGGGAAAAATGCCTAATCCGCCTGCTCCGTGTAAGTAGTAAAACTAAAGAGAAAGTTAAAGATGATGAAAATGTGTTACCTGAGTAAAAAGGAAGAATTTGTCTTAGGAGATGAGTAGAGAAGAGGGACCCTTGGAGTCCGTGGAAAGCCAGCCCTACCAACATGTGGCCTTTCTCCTTGGGATGCCTACTCATCATCCTTAAAATTAGGGAGTGAGTGACTGCTTTGTGTGTAGGGAGGGGTGCAGGGACCTGGAGACTGAAGCCAGGATCTCACTGATGCCAAACAAGTGCTCTGACACCGAGCTGTGTCACCATTATTTGTTGTTGTGAAGGTTTGTTTTTGGTGGTGGTTGTTGTTGAACTGCCCAGATTAACCTTGAATGTCAGATCTTCCTGTTTCAGCTTCCCAAGTAGTCAGAATTACAGGCATATGCCACTGAGCCTGGCCCAAGGCAAGCAACTTCTTTAGGAAATGTGGTAAAGAGGTTTATTTTTCAGTCTAGATTACTGAAAAATTCAGAGGATTTTCCCAAAAGAATTGAAAACGTAATGACACAATATTATATGTGTACCCATGTTTATAGCGGCACAATTTGTAATAGCTAAATACTGGAAACAACCCAGATTCCCATGGATCGTGGAATGGATAACAATAATGTGGTATTTTTGTACAATGGAATATTATTCAGCTATAAAGAAGGATAATCTTGAGGTTTTTGTAGGTAAATGGAGGCAACTTGAGACCACAGTCATAAGTGAAATAAATCTAACTCACATTTGTAAATATTGTATGGTCTCCCTAAAAGAATAGTAAGATCCAAAATGCACAACAGATACTGTGATAAT